TCTTAAGAAACTTTCCGACACTTTAAAACGTAATTCTTTTCCTTCGCATATTATTGAAAGAACTTTCAAGCGGTATCTTGACGGGTCCTCCTCTCAAAATAGCCGGAACATTGATGACAATAATACACGTTACTTTAAACTCCCTTTTGTCGGCTATTATTCTAAAATAGCGAACCTTAAACTCCGACAACTCACTAAGCGCTTTTGTAAATCGGACCTAAATATCAAACTAGTTTTCACTTCTTTCAAAATTAAAAATATGTTCTGTGTTAAAGATCGTACTCCTGATGCTCTAAAATCCATGGTAGTTTATCAATTTTCTTGTGCGGGATGTAATTCCCGTTATATTGGCGAAACTAGTCGCCACTTCTCTACTAGGACATAGTTACTAGGATAAAGGAGCACACGGAAAGCGATAAAAACTCGCATATTTTTAAGCATTTTAACACATCTCCTTCTTGTAAGAACAAATACCCCCTTTCTTGCTTTAGTATTCTGGATTCTGCCAACAACTCAATTGATTTAAAACTCAAAGAAGTTTTTCATATAAATAAGATTAAACCTGAACTTAACAAACAATTACAGCATTATAACATTTTTCTAGCATTTTAGTTCACACCTTTAATTTCATGTTTGTTGTCACGCTGTAATTAGTACCCGCTTTTGTATTACATCATACTGTTAATATTTTATTCATCTACTTGTCTGTTATATAATTACTCACGTTCAGTTAGTCATTGATTGAAAATGGCATAAGCATGCCGAAGCATGTCTCTAAAAAAAGTTGTATATCTCTTACAACATTTATCCTACTTGCTACTACTACGACCTAATGGAAATATTATTGCCGTTTTAATTTTTTGTTTTCTTATTTTTATTCAGTTATGCGATTCAAGAAAAATTCACTGCCTGACTCGTGAATTCCGCGTTAAATTTCACTTGAAAACTGATATCATACTCATCACTTCGCGATTCGTGCGATATCGGTTTTTCGCGTGAAATTTAACGTGGAATTCAGTCGTCGGGCAGTGAATTTTTCTACAAAATCTTCCCTTCAGCAACACATTTGAGATATATAAACATTAAAAATCGATGTTACTTTTCTTTTAAGCCAAAATTTGCATCGAGTTTGGAAATGAAGTATCGTTATCTGCAAATCTAATTTCGTCCCTTGAAAGAAGTGCTTCCTCGTTGTTTTTCGAAACGAAAATCATTTAGCATATTTTGGTTTCATTCTGAGCTCTCAAACAAGCTGGAACGGAAGAACAACCTTGAAAGTTTTGAAACCTCACGGCTCAACTTCAAGGAAACTTACGGCTGAAGTGAAACTGGACACTTCATGTTGAAGATGCACGGCCGTATATTATAACAGTTTAGTTTTGACTATTAGGTCTATGTTGCTTTACGGGTTAAATAAATAGCGCATACTTACGGTTGATAAAGCTTTCTCGCTAACACTTTAACTCTTACTGTTTATGACGTTAACAAACACCTGAGACCAATTTCACTTACACCTGTCCTTTCCAAGTTGGCTGAGGACTTTGTGGTTGAACGTTATGTTAAACCAGCTGTACTCGCTAAGGTCGACCCTCGGCAGTTTGGCACTGTTCCCGGTTCAAGCACCACCGAAGCCCTAATTAGTATGACTCATGCCTGGTACAGTGCTACTGACGGTAACGGGGCGTCTGTGAGGGTGATTCTCTTTGATTTTAAAAAAGCCTTTCACCTAATCGACCACCAGATTTTGGTCAAGAAGCTGGGTACATATAACATCCCCAATGCTGTCATCTCATGGATTATCGACTTTCTCACCTCGCGCAAACAGCGTGTTAAACTCGGCCACGACTGCTTCTCAGAATGGGGCGCGGTCCCAGCGGGGGTTCCTCAAGGTACAAAACTGGGGCCGTGGCTGTTTATCATCATGATCAACGAGCTGGATGTTCCTGGCATCGATCTCTGGAAGTATGTTGACGATACCACTATTTCGGAGACGATAAGCAAGAACCAAGACAGTCACATTCAAGCTGCTGTTGACACCCTAGCAAGCCGTGCGACCGAGGATAAGTTTCAACTAAACGAGACGAAATGNTACCCGTGAGTTAGTCCAGTTTTTCTGCACTTGTATTCGTCCGATTACAGAGTGTGCATGTCCTGTCTTCCATGACGGCCTTCCCGTGTACCTCTCCAACGAACTTGAAGAAATACAAAAGCGGGCGACGCGCATTATTTTTCCTCTTTACTCATATAATGAGGCCTTGGCTGAATCAGGCCTGACTAAACTTTCAGATTGCCGCTAGAAACTAGTTGATAAACTATTTAAGAATGTTTTACAGAATGAACAGAACAAGCTCCATGAACTTCTTCCTACTCGCAACTCACATACCTTTAACCTAAGAAATATGCGGAAGTTTAACCCAGTTTTTAAGACGAACAGGTTTCGTAATAGTTTTATTACCTTCCATGCCCTTAAGGCTTGAACGGTTTTATACAACCATTTTTGTTAGAACATATATTTAGTGTTCTTATTGCTGTTTTAATACTATTTAACGTAATTATCAATGTTTGAAACTTGTAAATAATTCAACTTTTGGTTGCAAATCGGTTATTAATAAACTATCTATCTATCTATCTATCTATCTATGGTCGACTTCCGCGTTGGGATCGCTTCGCCTGGAAAGTTAAACCTCTTAGTTAACGCAAACAGGTATCTAAAGAACATTTAAGATATCTAGAATGAATTAAAAAACAAGTGACAAGGCCACAAAGAGTGTTATCATTTCACATCAGTGTGGCCATTTTAGCGAAAACATTACTTACCCTTCAACTCGCTGCCGACTTTCTCTTTGTCAAAAAACAGGAACGAAGATTGAGAACCGTAACGTCACACGGATAGTGAACTGTGCGACGTCACGGTTCCATAGTAACTATTTGCATGGTTCTAAAGAAACCTCTCGTGGTTCGACAACAGAGTGAAGTAGGGTTACTTTCGACAGCTCCCCTTGTTTCGTTTTTTTCCAGAGAGCAAAAAAAAAATAAAGATAAGGTGAAAACCGTTTTAGATCCTGTCACTTCAGTTTTCGACAAAATGTAGCTTCATTCTAACCTCGAATCACAAAATCGCCAAAACGTTCCATTGTTATACAATTGCTTGCCTTCTGAGCCAATTTCAAGTATTTTTGTGATCTTGATAGATCGTGTGCCCACAAGATTGTTTTTTTACCAGCTTGAAGTTGTTTATAATCTCAGTCATACTCCATTTCGATTGTCACCGATTTCTATGGTACATCAATAATTCCAGGGCTGATTTATCTGTGAATTTGAACGTTTCGGCGAAGAAAGGAAGGAGTTTCTTCCATAAAGATTTCGTCTGCGGCACATATTTACACAGCCATTTTGAATTCTTGTTATTAAGCGCATACCTCGGGCGGTACGTGTAGACAAAAATAGAACAAAATTGATATTTTACGTTCGTCAAATTTCCGTTTGCATAATTAGACGCTGCGATCCAAATCGTTCTCCTTCTACACATGCCAAATTACCTTTCTGTATCACGTTTCGCTTCATATTCGCTCAAAAAAGGGAACTTTAGTAAATCACGACGGCAACGGCAACGAAGACGTAGCAGAGCAAGAGATCGAATTTAGCTGGCGCACAACTGGAGGCCTTAATCAAAATTCTCGAGGAGTTTTACGCAACAGTACAGAAGACAAACCGACGTGATTACGAAAGACTCGACATATGAATCCTATCTATTCAAGCCCAGCTTCCCGTTACCCCGACCGTACCATTTAGCTCAATGAGTTCACAGGCGGCCCAAGCGAAGTGTGTGATTTTGGGGTCTAAGGTCGCTAACGGGAATACCTTACACATTAAGATTGAATCCTAAGCATAAGCGTGTACCGCAAAAAAAGAGAAAGTATATATTTAAAAAAAAAAAATTAAAAGGTTAATAAAAGCGAGAAATATAGTGTTCATTTTCTTTACCTTTGTTCCTTAGCCGCCTTGTCGCTTCCAGTCGTTTCATCAATCTTCTGTCGACTTTCCTTGTATGGCGTGTTATACTACATATATAAGTATATGTAATACACTAGCAGACTGACTGATTCAAAAACTAACGGACTTATTGACCAGGTGACTAAATAACTAACCATTGAGGCGGTTAGCTCTATCCATTGAGCTAACCGCCTCCCGGTTAGCTCAATGGATAGAGCGCTGGACTGTTGTGCGGGAGGTCGAGGGTTCGAGCCCCGGCCGGACCAACACTCAGGGTCTTAAAATAATTGAGAAGAATTTGCTACCTTTCTATAACATCAAGAAATGGTTAGATATTCTAGTCTTCTCGGATAGGGACGAATAAATGGAGGTCCCGTCTCCTGCAGGGTTGGGGTAGGAGACGTTAATTTCCCACACACGAGATTACTGTGTGATGGATGTCCTCCCCTGGGGTGGGATGGGTGGGATATAGGGCGCACTTAATTTGGAGCCTCGCTCTGTTGTGCGACCCTCACCACACTCTGGTGAAAGTGATTAAATAACTAACTACTCTCCCGAAACTTCAACCTTAAACCAACCATAATCATGATGATAGAGCTTATCCTATAGTGGGACCGAAACTACGAAACAAATTACAAAGACATACAAAGAATAATCGTCACAGGTAACTGTAATGAAAACTAAGCTTTGACTGTTTAAGGATAGATTTGATTTGTTATTTATTTAAAACACAATACATAAATCTTCGGGGCAAGACAAAGGAAGTGCTAAACAGATTTCACGAACATGGCTACCGCTGTTCGACACAGAATACCGGCTAGCAAGTAAGTAAGTAAGGGCTTTATTTAATGAGGGTAGCACCAAAATAGTAAATAATACTAATAAACCAGTGGCCCTCCTAGCACTAAAAATACAATAAAAATATTAGAGATATTAAAAACTATGGCTTAACTACATAAAAATGAGCTATGAAAATTACAGAATAAAATTATTTAAAGCCAGTTGGTCATTGAAAATGCTCTTCCAGAGTGATGTTTTAAAACTACTTAAGGTGGCAAGTTTTCGAGTTGATAGTGGCAGGGTGTTCCACGTTTTACATGCTGTCGCTGTAAAAGTTCTTTCTCCTTCCTTTTGACATTTGACGATCGGACAAGCTACATTAAAATTAGCATATCTGGTTTCTCGTGAGTGAGTTTCACTAGTAAGTTTTAGCAAAGTTTTTGCTGGGCTCCTGATACCAAAGCAGCCATTGGAAACTTGGACCGGCAGGGGGTCCGATGTAACTCTGATGAATTCCTACAGGGTTTTCTACTGACCCTTGCCAACAATTACAAAGAGGACATGCAAGCTGATTTTTTTTAACCTTTTATCTGAAATGATTACACTGCTGCATCTTTAAATATTTTTAACCCGTTCATCGGTCATAATAATTTGATACGGTATTTTTCTTTTTGTACAGTTTTAAAGGAAATCTATGAGGTATTAAAATGAGGCAAACAGTATTAAGTATTAACACAGATTCTCTTTTTCATGCACTTTCTTTCCTTTTCTTTTTGGAAACGTTAAAATAACAGCTTCGATAAAAAAGGAAGCAAATGCAGCCTTGCTGATATCAAAATAAAAATGTCACTAATTGTTGAAAAACTAAAAGCTAACGACGATAAAGGTAATGATAATAGTTATGCACATAAAAAAACGTTATCATTTTCACAAGGTTCATAGTAGACCGATGGATGTAACAAATCATACATCACTGACGCGTGACGCTCTTTTTCTTCGGTCATGCGATCAGGATCTTCTGCACTTGCGTTACTAGCAGTCTCCATAAAAGGTGTCACAGGTTCAGAGAGTGTCTTCGGAATCTTCTGCTTTCTCAGGAATATATCCTCTTGACTCAAAACTTTTCTTTCCTTCATCAAGTCATTACGTGTGGCAAGCAACTGGCACATCTACTCACAACATAAAGGAAATCAATCAACCAATAATAATAATATCAATAATAATAATAGTGATAATAATAGTAATAATGATGATGATGAGAATAATGATAACAACAATATGGACAACAAAACCATTAATACCAGCATCGTCATGTTGCCCTTCCAATCTTCTAAAATATAACAACTGATACCTGATACAAATTGCACGAAAAAACGGATTTACATCATATCTGCGCATTGCAAATCTGAGCAAATTTGGTGCAAACATATAGCAAATACAGAGCAACGGTGGTAAATGCCACATTTGCTCATACATTTCTACCCGGTGCAAATCTATGAGCAAATGTGGCATTTACCACCCTTGCTTTATATTTGCTATATGTTTGCACTAATTTTTTTAGATTTGCACTGAGCAAATGTGTTGAAAATCCATTTTTATTGCTAACATAATTCAGTGGTGATAATAGCTTTATTATGTGATTCGGTACCAATAATAGACACAAGTAGACTTATTCATGACCGGCAATGACGAAATTGCTTGACGTCAGTAACAATGGCAGTCCCCCTAAAGATAACTCCAGATGTGCGATATTGAAAGCCCGAGTTCACGCAGCTATGCGTCTAGTTCAGTGTTAATAACAGCTTTATTAGTTGTTTTGTTTTTGTTGACGTTGTTGATGTCCTTAATGGACGAATCCAACCGTGACTCCATCATAGGATCAAATCATGGACTGCTAAAAAAGGCTTCCTTTCATCTTTTGCTTGTTTGTTTGTTTGTTTTATGTTGTTTTTGTTTTGGTGCTATTGATCTCCTTGTTCGTCACCCATTGCTAAGGGACGTCTTAATCAAACAATGATAACAATTTCGGATAATTAAAGATCCAGATACACCAAAATCCTTTTACCTGATCTACTTGCTTTCGAGAGTTCTCATCGCTCTGTTTAAGACGAGACTGCAATTCATGTATACGTTTGTCTTTTTTCGTGTTTTGTACCTCTAGATTCCGCTTTTGTGCCACAATGTCTGTAATCTTTTACCTGCTCTCTTTCCCTCTGTGCTTGCTGAGCACTTGCTTTGACTGAGTTCAATTCTTGTGAAGCCACTGACAATCTCATTTGTGTCTGTTCAAGTTCTTTCTCCACAGTCTCATTAGCCTGATGAAACTCAAAAACCTTAGATTTAACAAACGAGTAAACTACTCAACGTACTCTTCGCTTCATATCTTTTACGTTTGTCTCTTACACAACGCAAGACTGAGTGAAACGTGACACATACACTGAATCTCAAATCCCACAACTCAACGATACTTTCCTCCCATAAAAGAAAACTTTAATCCAACCAGTGTATGGTGAAAGCGGACCCGAACTTATGGTATGAGATAGATCACCTCCCATCTTGCCTAGTTCAAATCTCTTTGCGCCTGCAGCTCTCACTCAATGTCAGAAGACATGGACTAACCTAACTAACCTTTGAAACTTCAGATGCATTCGCTAGGATTTGGCTGTTTGCTTGTTCCAGCTCTGCCATAAGGCCGACCTAACACAATGGAAAAATAAAGACATTGAAAAATGAACAAGAAACGTAGCAATTAATCATCCCAAGGAAATAAGCCGATTATCCTAAGATAAGTCGATAAACACCAACCTTTTCGCGTGTTAGCCGCTCTAGTTGGTTCTCCAGCGCTGACCGAGCCTCACTTGAAGATTCTATCTGCGAGAGTAAAGGTACAAAAAACTTGATCATGGAAAATTGTAACAAAACTGAAAATAAAAAAGAAAAACACAAAACAAATAAAACATTAAACAAACAACAACAACAACAACCAAAACAAAGACCATCTTGGCAATCGTTAG